TCCATCCGCCTATCCATCCATCCATCCATCCATCCATCCATCCATCCATCCATCCATCCATCCATCCATCCATCCATCCATCCATCCATCATCTTTACCCACTTCTTCTTTTTCGGGCCACAGGGGTCACTGGTGCCCATATTCAGCAGTCACTGTGTGAGAGACGGGGGACACCTGGACAGGTCTCCAGTCCATCACAGGGACACCTGGACATGTCTCCAGTCCATCACAGGGACACATAGAGACAAACGAGACAAACAACCATTCACTCTCTCACCTAGGGTCAATTTAGAGTTACCAATCAGCCTAACACGCATGTTTTTGGTCTGTGGGAGAAAACCTATGTAGCACGGAGAGAACATGCAAACGCCACCCAGAAAGGGCTCAGGCCGGGATTTGAACCAGCAACCTTCTCCCTGAGAGGCGACAGCTCTTCCAACTGCGCCACCGTGCTGCCCAAACTGAACTCGTATTTAAGAATAAAAAAAAAGATTCATATAAAATGACACTGGTAGAATTTTTATAATAATATGAAGATAACATAGCGGGCGTGTTTATTTATTCTCTGCTGTAACACTGCACATTCTTAACATTCCCAACATTCCTCGTTTATCGTAGTAGAAACTCAGTCTTTGCTGTTTCTCAGAAACACGTTCATTTTTTTTATTTTAATGCAGAACATTCACTCCGATACGCTTCGGTTCTGAACTACCGGGGAACACTGAGTTATGTGTCAGAGTGAAGTGAAACATAATCTGATTTATGGAGCATCAGTGGTCAGTGGTTAGATTGTAAAAGTGTTTGAACAAACCACAGATTTTAGATAAATTCCTCACCCTCTTTAGATTTATTCACTCATTGTTACGTTCGCTTGTTTCACAGCTGGTTTTGCTTAATCAGATCATTTTTCTAAACAAACAAAAGGTGTGAACCTGTGTGTTGTTCAACTCTCTGATCCTGTTAACTGCTATATGCTTTAGCTGCAATGTGTGTGTGTGTGTTTTCCATTTCATTTGTCATTAGTCATAATTTTCTTTTGTCTGCCCACAAATGTCTTTCCATTCTGTCAGACTGACTTGATGAAGTCATGGTTTGGATCAGAGACAGTGTAGTTACAGTGTTGAGCTTCATCATGGCCAGAGAAGACAGTAAGTGGTACCTTTTCATTAGTTCTTGCTGACTCATGCAGCAGATGGTTCCACCGAGCGTTTAACCATCTCACTCCGTCTGACATGCAGAAACAGAAAGTGCAGCTTATTGTAGCTTTCCACCGACAGCACATGAAATTCAGCTGTGGCTAAAAGTTACTATGACGTTATATCAATGTTTACCTACTGTTGACTGTTTTTGAGGAAGTACACTCTATGAACAGTTAACATCTTACCTGTTGTAGATAGCTCTTTGAGCAGATTCTGTTTCGAGAAACAAGTTTAACTTCAACTGGATTGGCAAGCTAACAGTTAGTCCAAATGTAGCTAAGACCAAAGGGGATCGCTGCTGTCTTAAAAAAAAAAATAGTTCAAACATGATTTTGTAACCCTTTACATCATTATTGGTTTTGCACTTCATGGCGATTCTGGACGAAATACAGTGTTTTCTGGCGTATAAGTCACTTCAGTCAAAAAAAGTATAACGAAGAGGAAAAAACATAGTATAAGTCGCTTCGGCGTATAAGTTGCATTTAATTTGCGTCACCGCTGATCCGTCATGTTTATTAAGCGTTTATCTAATGATCAAAACATCATTTCACCTGGGCGGTGCGGCACCATCCATTCATCGTAGCCAGAGCCGCTATCTGTCCTGCGTTCCTCCACCTGCACCAGCTGAGTGAAGTGTGCATGCACGGTTGCTGTTGCAGTTCTTAGTAATTTAACAAGATTAACACTTAAAAACAATTATGTGTTTGCTCGACATTAAAGCCAAGGCGTGTCTCAGTTGAACTTTTCCTTAATAAATGCACTTTAATGGTCAAAGCAGCTTCACTTTGCCTGGACGGTGCGGCGCCATCCATCCATCCATCCATCCATCCATCCATCCATCCATCCATCCA